TTAATGTTCCTTCTCTCTCTCATCAGCACTGTCAGGGAAACTGAGACTCAAGAAAAATGATTTTTTCCCACACGGTACCAACCTAATTTCAGGCCCAGGCTGGCCTCTCTCAGGGCCCCAGGAGGTCAGAAGCCCTGGCTCCAGGAGCAATTCATAGGCCTAGGGGTTGGGGCTGTGGTCATCCAACGCCTGGGTGATACCATGTCCACTAACCAATTCTGTGAACCACCTGCCACCTCATGGACTAAGTACAATTGCAGAAACATCTGTTCGCTCATCCTTTTTGTGTTGAGACTTTTAAAGCCCAGCACTTGTCTGGTCTGGTCTCAGTGCCGCAGCCTCTGGGTACCAGGTGCTGCTCCATACTCAAAACACCTGCTCTCTGGCCTGAGCTGCTCCACCTGCCACTGGCAGATAGCCCAGGCTGGGTTAGAGCTTGCACTGGCTGCATGGGCGTCCCCCCACAGCTCCAGCTAAGCTAAGTGGGGCCTTCATTTAGCAAACAACTCGTTTAGAAATACAATCAGTCCTTAAGTGGACCTGGGCCCTCCCGACCACAGCAGAGGGAAGCTGTGGAAGTTCTGCCCTTGGGAGCTGCTTTTTTAAGGAGAACTAAGGGGTCTTGGGGGGAGGCTCAGACTCTGGTAAGACCCCTGGCCCTGTACTGAGGACGCTGTAGCACAGACGGCCTGTTACCTCCTTCAGGGCCTCAGAGATGTGGCCTTAGAGCTCCCCCATCCCCACCAAGACCCTTGTCTGGCTATCCTGCGGGGAGCAGTTAGCGAGGGACCTGCTAACTTAGCAGTTGCCGAGTCGGCCTTCATCTGCCCACCCATTCCTCAGAGGGAAGGTTTTGTGTGAAGTCGAGGTAGTGAAGGAGTAAAGGGACAGTGGACTTCAGGACACTCCTAGAGGCTTTTCTAAAGAAGCCAGGCTCTGCTCTGCTCAGGAAAGGAGACTTCATGCTGGGCTCAAGTTGTCACAGCCTCCACGGGTGAGGATTACTAGCAGTTTATAGTGTTTTCATGGTGCACATTGAGTCCCTGATGGAAAAGTCTCTGCAGTTTGCTGTTCGTGGCTTTGCTGTTGAGAAAAACAAGTGACAACAAAAGGAACATTCAGTGTGGTGTTTGTTCACCAACATAGCGAAGGCTCTTTATCCCGAGGGGAGCAGAGCTGCTCATTATTTGAATAATTAGCTCAGCCATCACAAGTAAAGGAGAGCTGGTTTTCAGTAGTTGCTCCCCACACTTTGCAATCATTTTAATCAACTCTGTCAGCACAAGATGCAGCCACAATCTGCACAACAGAACCTGTCCGGTAGTGACCTCAGGCCAGCCGTCACTGAGCCACAGCCACCAACAGCAACTAGGAAGGTAATGCTCTGTCCACTCCCCGCAGGAGTGGTTCCTCCAGAGCAGGCTGGGTCCAGGAGCAGGTGGTCGTCCGGGGTCCACAGCCCAGTCAGTCTGGCACCTCCAGCCGCCTTAACAACTCCCCTGGACCACTGGACCCAGACCCAATTTCCGGATGCAGTGCCAGAGGCTGAGTCCGGTAAAGCAGCTCAGGGGCAGCTGCTGGATGCCCTACTACCCCACTCGACACTCAACTTCCCAGTGGTGAATCCACTTGGCAAACATCTGGACAAACCCTTCGGCCCTGTGTTTCTGTGATGGATGGGCAGATCTGTTTGTTGAACTGCACAGTCTAAGCACAGCCATAATGGAACTGAAGTTCCAGACACGAGACCTCACAGAACCCCAAGCCCCACATTTCAGTGATCGAGAGACAACTCCACCTGTGACACAGTGTTATAAACCCTGGTACTGTGGATACATTTCATAAATGAGAATCCTAGCTGTTCTTGTCACTGTAAAACAGAATGTAAACAATGTCTTATGAATGTATTTCCTTAGGAAAACTGTTGTAAAATTTTTTATTAGGAAAGAATTCCTATTTATTTAATACTGAACTTTGGCCTACTTTGTGGTAGATGATAAAGCACACAAATTTAGGAGTCACTGTTTCTCACTTCTTAAAAATAATTTTGTCACAGTGCTCATGTACTGTGTACTATTGATCTATTGTGAAAGGAGATTTTTAAAGCAAGAATTTCATTGAAATTGGAATTGAAGTATATTATAATGAGTGGTGAAATTGTGAATTTGGTGAAAATGATCTTAGCCGGACTTTGTGTAACCCTAATCACAATCCATGTGCCTTAAAGGGCCCCCCAATGTGCTGTTGGCAGTGTCCAGGCAGGGGGCCCATCGTAGACCCTGCCACAACTGCCTGATCAAATCTATTAAAAACATTTCAAGGCATGTCTGGGTGCAAACTTTTATCAGCGAGAAATCACACCAAGGAGAATGTAAGGAGCAGTCTCCTGAAGGCAGACATTACTCTGGCTCTGGAATTAACATGGACATGTGTGTGTACACAACTGTGTACACATGTGCAAGGGGGGTCCTTCTGGATGGTATGAGGTGGCTGGACACAGCTGTGAGCACAGGCTGGGTCCTCGGAACTGGTTCCTCCCCAGCAGAGACAGGTGGACACTGCCACTACTTGCTTAGACTTGTCATTGCACACAGGGGCCAGGCCCAAGGATGGGAGCAGCATTCACCCAGTCTAAGGGCGGGGGTGGGGGTGGGGGTGAAGCAGCTGAAACATCAAGGCGGGTGAGCCTGGGGCCGAAACAAGGGCGGCACGGCACAACGGTGTCCACAGCCCAGTGCACAAGGAGGGCCTCTGCAGGGTTAAGATAAGACTAGTTGGGGAGGCACAAATGGGGGTGGGCCCAAGAGATGGAGCCATGTGCCTGCCTCTAAATGTCCCAATGGACCCACCTCCCAGGTGTGTCCCATCCTCCAGGATGGGACCCAGACGCCCCAGGTGGAGCCACACAGGGAAGCCTAGGCAATCATCTCCAGCAGGTCATCCTTGAGGTCTTGGTGTCACAGAGACACACCTTTAATAGTTAAAATTTAGATGTCTTTTATAAAAAGAAAATAGTGCATCAATGTCAAGTCCATAGATACCATTCATGAGGAGTCCAACCCATTTCAGTTGATAGAAAGGAGCTTCCTGGGGCTGTCATAGGAATCACCATGAACTGGTGGCTTAAAGACAATACACCTTCACGGCCAGGAGTCAGAAATCGGGGTGTGGACAGGGGTCCACTCCCTCTGCGCCCCGTAGGGTCCTCCCAGCTCCGCACTCGCTGCCATTCCTAGGCTTATAGAAGCATCACCCCAACCCTGTCTTCACCTGGTGCCACCTCTTAAGGACACTAAGTCAGTTCAGGGCCCCCACCTCCCCTCTCCAAGGCTGGTTACCAGAAGGAGCCATGTTCTGGCCTCTCCTTGCTCTGTGTCCCATGTCTGTGCCCAGGTGGCACCTGCTGTTCGGTACCATCCTGGCTAAGGCATGCACTACACAGGAGGGTGAGGCAGAGCAGCTTGGTGTTGCCCACCAGGAACGATCAGTTTCCTCTGGATAGAAACCCTCACAGAAACTGAATGAGTCAAGGAAATTTCCTAAAGATGTTTGTTCTTTTTCCTGAACAACACGTGTTTTTACAGAGAATGACCCCGACACTCAGTGAGTAGACAGTGGGCCCAATGAGATGGGATGCAGCTGGCCCCTGGTACAGGCTGCCTGTCCTGTTAAAACCAGGGCACTTTACCTGGGTGCTGCTGGCCTCTTGCCAGGTAGCCTGTACCTAACCCTACCCTGGGTGTGGGCGTGCATACCCACCCACTGCCCACTCGCCGAGACATGACCTCCACTGTGGACCAACCGCCCATGCCTCCCAGCACATCCTGGCCCACATCCTGCCCCAATGTGTGTGCCACTGTCGGACCGTGCTGATGCTGGCACCCAGCTCGGGCAGCTGATGCTTAGCTGTGACTGCTGTATCCCTGAAGTGGACACAGCCAAGAGACCATCGTATGACCAGAGCAGGACACCAGCCAGAACCCGTGCCACCTGGGTCTATTATTCTCTAAGTGGTCACACTGGACATCTATTCCAGAAGTAACTTGGAGTGAAAATAAATGCATTTTTATTATTATAAGGGGCAATAACTAATGATTATTAACAATCGAAAGTATTTACTGAGCATTGCTAGATGCTGTTTAAGGCATCTCGTAAGTAGGGAACCAGATTAACACGTGTATCAAGAAACTGCACATCAGCTAGATGTCTTTAGGAAGAATACACCTATTCCAAGCCAGTTACTACTCATAAGAACTGAATTTTTAGTTACTTACTTCCACTTCAGTTTTGACTCTTCCCAGAAAGTCCTATTTGCGAATTTCTCAGGTCTCGTGAAGACGAGCGCACCACACCAACGGTGCTGTCAGGGACAGGTCTCAGAAGAAACAAGCCTGTCCACGGGCACCTCGGAGGCTTAGAGCAGCCCGACCCCACGCGCACATGCCGTCCGGCGGGAAGTTGCAGCACAGGCGTCTCCCCCAGCCACGACCCTCCTGCCTGAACTGGCCAGTCCCTGGGACCCCGAATCAAGGGTGGAGGGACCTGTGACAGGGAAACAGGAGCAAACACCTCCGTTTCCTATTTCAGTCAGCAGCGAAGCTAGACCAGAGCACTGCCACCTACGAAAGCCTGCTCACCGGGAGGGCAGTGCGAGGCTGGGGAGGCACTTGCAGGGGCTCACTGTTTGTCCTGGGTGGAACTTTCCTGGGCTTGGTACAAAGATCACTGTGTAGAATGAAGCTATGGCTGAAGGCAGCCAGGGGCAGACAGCTGAATGACAGAAAGAGGGTCTCAGAGACTGTGTCAGGAACAAGCAGGGCCCACAAATCAGACACACCCAGGGCTACTGCCTATTCAGGTGATGAGCAGTGGGCCAAAGGGATGCCAGTGGGACTCCCCCCGCCCCACTCAGGTGGGTGAGGGTGGAGATGGCCTTCAGATGTAGCATCTGGGCCCTTTGCGGCCATGGCTAGTAAGAAAACCCCAAAGCCAGGCAACTCTAAGTTCCCCGCAGCGGTTACTTTTATTGAACAGAGGCATCCAAAGTGCTGACACTGCAGAAGAGAGGGAGGCTGAGAGACAAACAGGAACAGCCAGCCAGGACCCTGCTCACAAAGCCTGTCCATGACGAGAGGGCCAGAACCCACCACCAGAGCGCCTGTCTCTCAGGAAGCCTTGTGCTCGGCATCATGCATCCCTGGCTGTCACTCTCGGGGTGATGAGTGCGGGACCAGCTTCAGGCTGGAAACTGAGAGGCTACTTGAGCAGCTTGGCCACATTCAGACTGGGAACTATGATTTCTTTGAAGATGGGCACGTAGTTCGGATTTGCCTGCGTGGGGCCCTGCTCCAATGTCTCGATGATGGTCTGCTTCATGTCCCGGCTGGCATCCCCTCGCATGGCCAGCAGAGCACCGATGTGGTCGTCTCTGGGAAAGCAGGGATAATGGGAGGGGTGCATGGGAGGATGCACTGAGCTGCTCACCTGGAGCCTTACTCGAGCTCCCCACCCCCACCCCCCGCTGCGGCTCAGCTGACACTGAGGGTCCCCAGAACAGGGTCACCAGCTACAAGTGAAAGGCATGTCTCCCGTCCCATCAGAGGGAGAGAAGCCCAAATTTTCATATCATAACATGGTCTTCCAGTCTATAACTGCAAAGTTTTTTAAAGGTTGCCTTTTTAAATCTTTGTTTAATAGACTAACTAACTAGAACAGGAGGACCCTGGAGAGCACAGGACCATCGGTTCTTCCCGCTCGGAGCCAACCCAGAGCAACCGCAGGAGGAGAAGATGCTGGGAGGCCACCTGGGTGGGTGTGCAAAGGCTGCAGGAGCCTGCAGCCAGCCCCGTGGGCAGGCCCCTTTCCCCACAAGGGCTGGAAGGTGTCCTGGCCAAGCACAGAATGCAGGCTCCCTTTTCTGAGTCCACCACAAGCACAAGGTAAGCTTCCTAAAACCACTCTGCTCAGCCACTTTCCCACCCACATCGAGTCCCAGTCCGGCCCCACCCACTCTGACACTTGGGAGGAACATGAACAGGGCTGGCAGAGGGCACATGAAATGCAGGCACGTCCGCTGTCATTCTCAGAAGCCCACTCTGCCTACAACTGTAGTCTGCACAGCTCACCTGTGAAGGAGCCCAGAGCTGCCACACTATCACCCCTCAGGGACACACCTAAAACCCAGGACCCTTGGAATGATCCTGCTGCTCTGCTCCCCGAGTTCTAGTTGAGACAGGAGGCCATTACCTGATGTCTGGGTATTTGCTGACCAGAGTCGAAACTTCCAGGTAGAGCAGGGACGGGTCTGTCAGCTTAATCACTTCTGCAATGGCGTCGATCGTATCACAGTACCCATCCACTTCTTCGCCGAAGCCCTAGAAGTGAGTGTAGAGGTCATAAGCAGCACGCAGCACCATGACACCTCGGGCCAGACACAGGCTGGAGCCTCTCAAACCCTCCCTCTGGCTGAGGATGCCTGGCTGGCCAGCCCATTCCCTCCTTTCACGTAAACATCAAGGAGGTTCCCACAGGGGGTCGTCCCCATGGGGGCACTAAGCACAGAGACGGGGCTGGGGGCTGGGTGGGTCACGAGGTCAGCTCAGCCCCGCATGAGGGAAGGGACGGATGAGTATTGTGTCTCAGAGCTGAAGTCTGGTTACGTGCTGACACCAGAAGTCTCGAAGCTATTGCCCTGAGCACATGTGCCCCAAACACGGGTCAGACAGATCTCTATACAGATTCTCCTGCTAACACAGGAAACAAGAATTAGTCACTTGGTTCCTGACATGACTGATGAACTGGCCTGAAAGTCCTATGGGTGGAAACTGGAAGAGCACCCACAGTGATACTTTTTAGTGGCAGCAACTCTGAAAGGGCATGAGGCGGTGGCACTCACAGACGCCAGCTTGCGGAACAGGAACCGCAGCTGCTCAGCCTCCCGGACCATCCTTTCGGCCCCCTCCTTGCGCTCCTCAGGGCTGCGGAAGGAAATGCGCTTCTGCATGACAGCCCGCAGGTACTCCACCACCACGCGTCGGTGTGCTTCGGCCGTCATCCGCTGGGGAGCAGAGACATGTCAGCTCCTCGGACACATGGACTTCCATTTAAATCTAGGTCAACGTGTGAACAGAATGCATTCCTTCCCATTTCCCATCAGTACAGATGGCAGGGCTTCAGAGTAAGTAAATAAGCACATCTGACTTTTAATTATAATTTTTACTTTAGAAAATCATACCAGCATTCACTCTGAAATCCAACGATGAAAAGGAATTGCACAGGCAGGGCCCAGCACAAGCAAGAGCCGTGCAGATGGGTGCCAATGGAGCTGACGCTGCGCCTCAGATGCTGACTGTGCCTCCAGAGGACAAACAGAATAAAGGTCCCCACATACGGCCTGCCTGCAGCCTCACACGACACGTCCTTTTAGCAGCATACATCGCTGCAGGGCGGTTTCCTGCCAGGCGTGCCAGCATAGCACGTGCTTTTCCCAGACCCAGACCACTCACGGGGCCTCATGCCCACCCCTCTGGGTAACCCCAGCCAACTCCTCTAGCTGTCTCATCTTGCACGTATCTCAGAGCACTTCATCGCAGGGTGGAGTTTGGGGTCAGCAGGGAAACTGGGGACCCTGGGCCAGGCCCCAGCTCCAACCCTCACAAGTGGACAGGCTCCAAAGGACAGACGTGCAGGAAGCACACACATCGTGCCTCATCCACAGAAGCCTGTTTAACAACCAGGAAAATGGTGACAGAGCTTTAGAGGAAGGAGGAACCCCGAGTCCATCCATCTGAGGACATGTCAGAGAAGGCCATGGTTCTCCCCACAACACATGTGGACACAACGCAGACCCCAGCTCCCACTGAGATCCACCCCCAGTGGCACGTGGGCACCAGGTAGTCATCCCACAATGGTGCAAATAAAACTGCACTGACGTGACGAGTGGCATCACAGCTCCAGACCAAACAGAGCTGTGCCTACCTGGGAAAGCTGGGTGCTCTGCTCCCTGTGCCAAAGGGAAGGGGAACCCAAGGACCCCAAACAAGACAAGCAAGATAGCACCCAGCACCTGCCTGGGGTTGTGGCCAAGAGCAGGGTCAAAGGACTGTGCTCCGGTCCACAGCCCAGGCTCTTGGGACAGCAGACGCCCTCACGTGAGGCATGAGCATCACCACACTGGGAGACAAGCCACCAGGACCGGGAGTCTGCAGGGACAAGCTCCCGGCCTGGGGACTCCACACACAGACCCCAGACATCGACAGTTAAATAAACATACAAAATGTTTAAAGAAATAAAAACTGGAACTAAAACCTGTGTAAGCAACAAGAAATTTGAAAATGACCAGAGCTGGCTGATCCCACCAGACCTCTAAGCACCAGAGCCTCCTGACAGCTGTGAAGGGACCCATCGGTCAGGTGGACTTAAAGCACCTGGGTCTCCCTGCAAGTATTATTTTTAATGGCAGTTAGAAGAATTTCTTTTAAGATTTGGAATTAGACACAGATGCCCACTGGGCTGGGTGTCCAGCACAGCAAGGCATGGAGAAGACATAAAAGCTGTAAGGACCAGAAATGAACACATGCAATGTCAGCGTTCATGGATAAAACACCTGTCTGCCTAGAGAACTGGAAAGATGTGGAGACACATCCTAGGAACACTAGTTAGTTTTACAAAGTGTCTGGATATGAGGTCAACATATCAAAACCACTTCATTTCTGTAAAAAAAAGAAAAGCTAGAAACCCTGATTTTACAAATGAAACTTTTAAAATTTATTTATTTATTTATTGTCAGAGAGGGGAAGGGAGGGAGAAAGATGGAGAGAAACACAGATGTGTGAGAGAAACATTGATCAGTTGCCTCTCGCATGCCCCCAACTCAGGACCTGGCCCGCAACCCAGGCACGTGCCCTGACCAGGAATTGAATCAGCGACCTTTTGCTCCACAGGGTGAAGCCCAATGTACTCAGCCACGCCAGTCACGGCCAGATTAAACTTTTAATAACAACAATAGCGAAAACTACACAAGGCTGGGTGCACATGAAAATAGGCCCTAGCCCTGGATGAGGACATGGTGGCATTGTGCGGTTAAGACTTGGAGGAGACTAAACAGTAATTAACACAGGAACTCCCTGTTATCACGGGACCTCTGCAGACTGGAGGAAGTCCAGTAGCCAATGTGTCTTGATGGGTACCTGGACTGAGGACTGCCCTTTCTCCCTGCCGTCTCATCAGAGCCATGGCCACTGCCCCACCACCCACGGGGGATCAGGTCTGTGGCTGTGTGTCAGTGTGGCTTTAGTGGGGTGTCAGGAGCAATGAAGCCAGAAGATGGTCTCAGTCTTCACTAAGAGGCGCCATCACCTCCACCTCCAACTCATCTTTAGACACCGACGTCTCCTGCCTTGGGTTAATAAAACCAACTCCGAACTTCCACTCACAGAACTAATTTGACACTGAACGCTACACAAGATGCCACGTGGGCTCCAGCATGCCAGTGACTGTGCCCCACACTCTTACCTTTTTATATGGCTTTTTAATTTTGGCAAAATCATTGAAATAGTCTTCCACGGTGACACAGATGATGTCTACAGCATTTGATCCCAACAGCCACTTTTTTGTCATTAGGTCACTGAGATGTGGCTAAAAAGCAGACCACAGAAAACATCACTATGACACTGAGATCCTGGCATCGGGAGGGGTGTGCTGCATGTCTGCCTGATGTGCTGCTGTGAGCGACAGTACCTGGTAATCACAAGCACTACTGGTGTGTAACCTGCAAGTGTGTACTTTAACCACACGGGACTCAGACCACACGCACCTGTGATGTATGCAGGTATCTGTGTGCACACATTTCACCTTTAAGGACTGACTATATATAGAGTTGGGCAAAAGTAGGTGTACAGTTGTGTGTGGAATTTTATTCTTGTATTATTAATTACTGTCATTTTATATAAAAATAATACTTTTTGCCCCACCCTGAATTTATCATACAAATATTCTGTAATTTACCCACCCTATTCTGATGGACATTTAAAATTTTTCACATTTTGCAATTTAAAAAAATGCTGTAGTGACTTTGTACTCTTCTGCAGGTAAAACTCTTATAAGTGGAATTGTTCAAAAAGCACGCAAACTAAACCCTCAATTACCTGTTTCAAAACTGTCCTCCAAAAACTGCACAATTCACATTCTGCACAGAACACAAGACTGTCCCTTTGCTCATGCCCTCGACAACACGTTTGCAATCCATGCCATCTTGGTAAGTAACAAATAATATTTTTTATATCTGTATTTCTTTGCCATCAAGATTCTGCTAAGGAATATAGCAGTCTTCCTGTGACATGGTTCTAGGTTATAATCCACTGATGTTTACCGGGAGTCTCTATTCAGTTGTGCAGCAGGACCAAAACTCAGACCTACACCACCCAGGGCATACCACGTCACAGAAAAGCCACAGCACTTTTACTGCGACTGAGGATGAAGGCAGGCGCACTCAGCTCGGGCGCACGGCCAGAGAGCCCCACCTCCAGGTCCAAGAAGACCTCCTCCAGCAGGCTGCTGCAGCCCTCTTTCGCGATGGCATCTAGAATCCCGTCCATGCTCGGCTGGCTCAGAGACATGCCTTCTTCCACTTCGTTTTTTAAGTACTTCTTCTTTAAACTGACTATGGATTCTCTGCAAAGGAAGAGTTGCAGCTCGGTGAGGCGGCTGAGTGTCCTCACAGGCCTGTCTTTGACCCAACAGTCACTTACTTGAAGGTCTGGCAGTTGTTGATGATGGCAATCACGTACTGGACGTAGCAGTGAGGGTGCTGCCGGTTCCTCAAGTGCTCCTCCTTATACAGCTGAGCTTCGTCTTTGTATCTGAGGACGTACAACCCACAGCAAATACTATCAGAGGAAAACCTGCAGGTGTTTCACATGCCACACTGACTTCACTCATAATATGAGGCTTACATCACTAACGATTGACCAGACGAGTCTTTAACACAAAAAAAGAAAATTTGGTTGCTCTGTACTAATAAAAGAACAGAGAAATTGGTCATTTTAAATGAATTATTAAAAATTAATTTCATGTCAACTCTTTGAAATAGGGTTCTGATTATAAAAATATTCTGGAATATTTGATTGAGTCATTTGGAAAGTATTATTTTTTTCTGACATAATTTGCCTAGAAATTTATAAAACGGGAACACTATCAAGTATTAGATAAAATGTCCCCTTCTGAAACTCTCCCTGAAGAAATCAAATAAAAAATAAATGAGACTCTTTAGATGTCACGAAAACAAACAACTGAGAGGGCTACACGTTTTATTTTTTAACTAATTATGGAGATCCTCAAACATGTACAGGAGTAGAACAGTACAACACGCTATAGATCTTAAAAAAAAATGAAAATTGGCAACTAAAGGGAAATATTCAGTATTCTACCTTTCTGTCCAAAGTGTGGTTCAGGTAATCAAATGGCTGAGGAAATGAGAAAAGCTTCCTCTTTACAGAAGAATCCAACCTCACTCCTCTAATGAAATGACTAATTCCGGCCGTGTCCCCCAGATGGATGGCCGACGGGAACTCTGAGGGGCCTCCCTGTTGGCGCCGAGCCACCAAAGCAGGATGGGAAGACACGCGTCTCCTGATGTGCTGCCGTGTGGAACACACATCCCACCTGCACAGGGCTCTTACAGCATGATAGTACGGGGAATTCCTAAGCTGCTAGAGACAACTTGTGGTTGTGAGCAGATGGCAGTCCTGTGCTGGAAGATGCTGGTCACTCTACAGGACAATGTGCACTGTGCCAGTGGCTTATAGAAGGGAAGGGACTGTTCTCCTGCGTCACGGACATGAGGACTGGAAAAACCACATGTGCTGTAGAATATGTAATTATACAGATATGTATGCGACCACTGGGAAAGCCCAAATACAAACTTGGTGTCAGATGGTCCCGTGGAGTGATTGTGCAGTTTTATGTGGGCTGATAGCCATGTAGTTAGGGCAGAAAATGCAGGGGAAATGCCTCAATGTCTGGGATTTTCTTTAAAGTTACTTCAGCAGAGAAAGAGAGCACAGGGGAGAAGGGAGGGGGAGGGTGGCCGCATGAGGCAAGGGGTGGCTTTAAAGGGACAGCTCTTGAACCTGGATGATGGGTAAACAGTTTTTTATGTCATTCTTTCTACTTTTGCACAGGTTTAAAAATCTTCTTCATGAACAATTCCAAGGGAGGGGGTATCCTGGGGGTACAGTCCCTCTGAGCCCCCCATCTAGGGCTGGCTCAGCTGGGGATGCCTCCCAGCAGTAGGAGCCACCGCTCCCGGAGCTGTCCACCCCGCCGCAGAAATTCAGACTACAGGAAGGACAAGCGTCTCGGGAGAAGCTCCACCTCCAACCCTGCGGCATGCTGACAACACTGCTGGGGGTGGCACGGATCAGACCTGGGGTCTCAGGGGTCTGGGGACACATACCCAACAGAAGGTAACAAGGAAAGGCTGCCTTTCTAAACGATAAAATAAGGCAACTACAGTCAGCCCAGGCTTAAACTCTTTTTTAATATAAGGCATAACAGGACCAACACAGTTTTGCCTCTGATTTTTAAAAACATGTATTTTCTACATTAATACAATGGCAAAAATACATACCTACTTAAGAAAGAATTCATTTGCTGAAGACACAAACCTAGTACCTTTGTTTTCAAATCTTCACTTATCTGAGCAGCAACTTGAAGATTCTGTTCAAACATCTAAAAATTGGAGAATGGATGAATTCTAACACAAACTCACAAGAGCACAGGTTTCCTATTATATAAAACCCCATCTGCTAACTGTGAGTTAGGATAGTCCAAATTCAGAGAAAAAAATGAAACCATGCAAAAAATAAAGTTAAACAAATGACTTTCTCACCGGGTAAAAAAAGCAAGCGAATCATTTCCTAATTGCCTATAAACAGGCAGGTCTCCTTGAAGGGGAAGCTGGCAAGGAGATGGGGGCCCATGAGGTGACATGGGTGCTGCCCAGTGACTAGTGATGTGGATTTCTTAAGAAGAATTAGGACATATATTGGAGCTAAGGAAAAGTGAACTTGAAAAGACAGAAGAGCCAGCAGGCAAAGCTCACCCCAGGTCCTTGTTGCAAATGGGCTGTTATGATGTGAGAATAAATAAAGAATTAAAATAAAGAAAGGGTGAGGACCAATCTGTGGCTAAGTGTTGCCTGGAGAAAACCACCACCAGTACCCATTTCTGCAGGCTAGAGCCCCAGAACCGACAGCAGTCAGAGTGTCATATGAATATTCCAACAGGGCTCAGGCCTTCTACTGTCATCCACTCAACTGAAAAAAACTGCACAGGCCAGAGAAAAGGAGAAGGGCACTGGGTACACTAGCAGGTGGCCAGGCATTCAAAAGTATGTTATCTGTAAGAATGCATGATTATTGTTAAAATCTAAGGGACTCTTCCCCAACTCCATCAGGTTAGACTCAATTCTATGGCATTTATAAAGTCATTTACAATATCAGGATACTTCAAACAAGCAAACTCAAATCCAAGTGTTACACTCAAATAACAAAGAATTCAGTTCTGGTTCAAGTGCAAAAGGATTAGGAAAACTAAAGTGACCCTAGACAGATCTCCTTGGCAGGTACAACGCTCAGTTTCTTCAGCTTCAGAGAGAGGACCCGAGGCACTAGGCAGGATTCTTTCTATCTTCACTACAAAATGAGGCACTTGGCGTTCGTTTGTAAAACCCACAGACCCTGTTAACTACCCAGAAGTGAAACTCAGAATCCACAGGTGGTACCTGGAAGACAATGGCCGGTAATGTCGTCTGGTAGTACCCGTCTTGGTCAGCTTCAGGCTCAGTCTCTTTTATCCAGTCTTTCTTATCTGTTTCTAGAGCTTTGCGCAGCCAGGCAATGATGTTTGACTAAGGAAGTTTGGCAGCAGAGGGAGGGAGAAAAGAATATGACCTCTAAGCCAAGGATACACTGGTGCAGCCGCAGAAACCAAACACAGCACGCTCAGAATTCCTGTTCCCAAACAAGGGATGCCACAAAAGCCACCCAGACAGCCAACTCCACAGCAGCAGTGCCCCCACCAGCCTCCATGCTTTTGGTCAGGTTTGTCAGAAGTACACAGAAGACCAAGACAGACCTGTCCGTGGAAGACCGGACACCAGCACCTTCACCTCATGTGCACAGAGCCACCACCCAGCTTCCACGGCGTGGGCCTCTGCATATCAGAACGCTGTGCGGTGAGCAGGCTGGAAGCAGACCCTGCCTTCATCTTACTCTGAGACTGCCTGGGGATCGCTGGGCAGCATTTGGTGCCCTAACTGCCACCCTCTCATCCCCAGGCTCAATGCTAAGTGGCTGGCAGGCACCCCCACACGTCAGCAGGACATCCCGAGGTCTTGTCAGCCTGCTGGGGTCAGGACAGGCTCACTCCTCCAACCAGGGCCAGTTTCCATACCTGTGGAACGTGTGCCCCACACAATCTCCACATCCAGATCCAGAGATTGGGCCACTCCCCTCATCTAACTGGCAAGTGTATGTTTCAAGACCTAATTTCCCAAAAAGAGAGCCTGAGCATCCTTAGGAGCCAATGTCCAGGCAGGGTCTCACTCCCTTCTTTTGCACACTGGCATTGGTTCCAGGTCGACATGCAGAGACCGAAGCAGCGTCGGGGCACTAGACACAGACTGTTTGGGGCCACACGCAGCTCTACTCACAGTAAGAGTTGACATGTACGTGTCCAGCAGCTCAGAGACCACGTTTGGAGAAAGCAAAGGCTCCAGGCTGCTAACATCCACTTCTGGGGCCAACTCCACGTTTCCCATCATCTCTGTGCTATAAGAAACCCAGGAACGAGAAAGATTAAAAGCCAAGAAACAGATAGAAAATTCTAAGGGTTGCTACTTCTTTTCCGGAGGAGAGGCGGGGCCTCGGGCACTGGCCAAGGAGCCTGGGTGCCTGTGTCACAAGGTCCTGGAGGCCCCCTTGAGAAACAGGCCCAGTGCGGAGAGATCGTCTGTAGTACCGCAGTGCCTCCCATGAAGACCGGGGCAAATTGGAGGTGCTAAACAGGTATGTTTTATGTAACAGGAGAGTAATCTCTAGTGCAGAGAACGCGTGACATCCATATGCAACTCAAGTCAGCAAGGAAAATGTCACTGTATCCAGTCTACCATGCTTCAGAAGGCAGGGATATAGACTAACTTTCAGAAAAAAGTTTTCTTAAAAAACGGTTAATACCTGTGTATGTGGTTGGGTTCTTAAAGGTCCAAGGTTCAACTGCTCAGAAAATTCACATACCTTACGCTACATTCCCTAAATGTGTGTGTGTGTTTATTTTTATCATCATCTGAGGACATTTTTTTTCTTTTTTTTTTTTGAGAGAGTGAGAGAGATAGTGAGAAGAGACACATCAATGTGAGAGAGAAACATCAATTGGTTGCTTTCTCATTTGCACCCTGACTGGGGATTGAACCACAACCTGGGGTATGTGCTCTGACCAGGAATTGAACCTGTGACCTTTTGCTTTATAGGATGATGCTCCAACCAATTGAGCTACATTGACCAGAGCCCTAAATGTATATTTAAATGACACTAGTCCACTCTCTATAAGAAATCCAAGGTCTTCCTGAATAAAATGACACTTCATAAAATTATGCCAATGTCAAAAGATGATTCACTTAACCCAAATTATTACCCCCCCACCAAGAACCTTAATTCATCATGAAAATGTTTGCAGTACAAAAGCAGTTCAATTCTTCCCATGATAAAGTCCAATATGATGGAATGGGAAGACAACAGGAAACTGCCCAAGTCAGAAAAGTGCTTACCACGTACTGAGTGAAAAACAAAATCAACACACAAAACTCAGCATGCCACACACCCACCCCCCCATGTCAGATGGCTGGAGCACAGGCGAGGGAGGGCCCAGGGTCCAGATTTGAACCCTGTTCTACACTTGACTCGCTGGCTGTGTGGATGGGCACATTATTCCCTGTGCCTCATTCCCTCACATACAGAAGGAAGATAATCATCCAGTGCCTTCCTCAGGGGGAACACATACAGATCAAGGCTGCACGGAGATGACTGCCAGAGGGGGCAACCACGGCAGCCGTGGGCTCCCAGGCTGTGTGACAGCGGCACACAGGAGGTGACCAAAGCTGCAGCCACAAGGATCATCATTAAAAAGGTGAGATATTTCCTCTCTCTTTATATTTTTCTGCACTGAAAGTGTACACAGTATCTACTATAAGCTGTTGCCAAAAACAAAACATCCCAAAACCTTACTGCTAGAACAAGAGGTTTAATTAATTTCTACACACTAATGATAAGACTTAAAAAAAAAATTCCAATATAGTACCTAATACTGTTTTTTATTCATAAAACATTGTGTTTTCCTCTCAGCCAGATGATCTTAAACAACTTCACAATACCCAACCACTGTTCCGTCTTGTACCCTTTCACCCTTTCGTGAAGTGACATAGCCCCAAGGCTGAAATGCAAAAAGGACAACTGAATTTACCACCATACTGGTGAGAAAAAAGAAACCAAATCTGGGAAAGGAGTGAGGGCATCTCCTCACCAACCACAATGACTCTGAAGGACCTCCTGGGCCCATGTGTCCTCACCTGTCCACTGAAACCACCTGCTCGGTGTCACCTCAAGGAGAAAGTGGGTTAGTGTATAGTGACCCTTAGTACCACAGGATATCCAACCTGAACTGCTCAATGTGGACTGGATGTCAAGGGCAGAGGTACCACCCAAACATAAGGGCATTCACATGACCAGAGGCTGGGCCCTGACCTCAAGGACAAGCCCCCAGGGCCCTGACCTCAAGGACAAGCCCCCACAGAAAGATGACTTTTATCAACCAGAAAATAATGCCTGCGGTGCTGAGTACCTGACTGGAGCAAACCAACAGTGGCTGTCTAGAGAAGGTTGGTGTGTTTTTGTTATAGTTTCTACATAAAAAAGACACAAGGGGCAAAGTTAGTGTTACCTTGTGTAGGTGTTTAAGACCCAAGTCAACAGGCTCACAATTTCATTTGCTTCTAGGTCTTCCGAGGCCAGCTCCTGCATCCGTGTGGTCAGGGCCTGGTGGTACATGCTCAGGAGATTCCTGAAAATCTCATAATGGGGAGGAAAACACTGAACCATCAAGTTTTTGGCAACAGTGAGGTCATCTAGGACATACTTCCTTATAATTTCTAAGTGGCGAACGAGCCACATCTTGTCGGACTCCCTGGTGTCTGCCTGCGTGCCCTCGATTCTGGTAGTTACAGTTCTGTCCAAGATAGCAAACATCTTCTCCTTCCAGTTCTTGGGTCTCCCCGGAGGAACAAAGCCAGTTTGCTTTTTTCGATCAAGTATGCGCCTGTCAATCTTTTCTTCCCTTTCGATGATCCTGACAACAGACACCAGCAAGGTGGGGTCACGACGGACGGTGACCAGCGACCTCTGCAGCACCATCCACAGCTGCTTGGCCAGCTCGTCAGAGAGCCCCTGTGTGCTCCCAAAGTAGCTGTGGATGAGGGTCATGTCCCGAGTGTTCCCGCTGTCTATGCGGTACTGCTCGTACATCAGGCCGTCCCGGGAGCACTCCAAGTCCATTAGCTTCCGGTGGGCCTGCAGGAGCGCCCCTTGCTCTATGAGGTCCTGGGTTTCCCTCACGATCTCGGGCACTGGGGAAAAAGGCACAAGATGGCACTGTGAAAAACCACATACAGCTGTACAGGATTCTGGGAAGGTGGCAGAGGAGGAAGTACCAAGAGTCTGTCTCCCCCATCTGGGTAATTGTACTGACAGAATCTGCCTGATGTAACTACTGTAGAACTATAGAGTCTACTGAACTCTAGAGTCTTGCAACTTCCAAGGGAAGGCTCAGACAGGAAATTACAGTTAATTTTGTTCAATTTAAGCTCTCAGCACAACAGCAGCCACTGTCCCCCAGCAGCCACCACGCCTGCCACATGTCTCTACAGCAGCTTACATACAACTTGCAGGAGCCAGAGTATGCAAAAAGGGCCCTAACCTCCAAATACTGGGGACCTGCACTCCACTTGCTGATTGCTGTGCTTCTGATCACAGAGGTGCAGACACGAAGGTGGGTGCCATTGTTGCAAGCCCCTCCCTAACTAGGTGAAGTGACATCCAGAGCACTTACAGGACCAGTACCTTTTACCTCTTTCATTTTTCTCTTTTTCCCTTTTGGAAGCCAGATGTTTAAAGATTAGAGCATTCAAAGGCAACCTCATATAAAGGGAAATTTAGAAAGTGACTACATAGGCCCAGGGAAAGGTGCAAGCTCAGAAAAGACTCGAGAAGACCTTAAGTTTACATCTCAGGCTGATCCTCAGCACAGATAGCCTATAACAATAAAAAAAAAATCAAAAACAATAAACAAAAATCAGCATTCTTGGGGAGGAGGAGAATCTGATTTTGAGTTACCTAATTATTAAATTCAAACATCTCATGTTCAACCGAAAGAACCACAAGGCATACAATGATACAGGTGTAGGGATAATGGAGTCAGTCAGGCTCTGTGGCCCGGATGTCCATGCAACTGTGACTCAGCAGTGTTTGTATACCCTGGAGCAGGGCCCGCGTGAGCAGATTTAAGCTCTATCATATAACCAGAAGGTCAGCTATTGACACCTGCCGGCTTTGTGTTCACACAGTATACAAGGGAGCAGGGACTCTCTGCGGTGCTACTTGTGGCTTGTGGCACATTCAGATTGTCCCGCCCAGAATAGAGGCGTGTCAGACATGCTGAAGGCTCCTCCTATTTTCTTCTGTCTGCCCATATCCCATGTGAACCTGCCTCGGCTGGAACACTAGCAGGACTACAGGGAAGTATGAAGGTTCAAAATAAAAAATAAACCAACAGAAACTGTCCTTGAGAAAGACTAGATGGGATATTTATTAAACAAAAGCTTTAAAACAAGCTTTAAATATGATGCTCAAAGAACTAAAGGAAGACATGGAGAACATTAAGAACATGACAAATGAACAAAATGGAAACATATATCAGGACATAAAAAATTAAAAGAACCCCTGCCCCCAAATTTAGCAGCTAAAAATAATAACTGAAATGAAAATTTTACTTTAGGGATTCAAAGACAGATTTGAGCAGACACAAGAGGGAATAGGTAAACTTGAAAATGGTACAACAGAAATTATATAGTATGAGAAACAGAAAGAAAAATGACGAAAGAAGAGTGAACACAGCTAAAGGGACCTCTGGGGCACCGTCAGGCAGACACGTGTACACCGTGGAGATCCTAGATGAAGAGAAGGGAGGTAAGGGGAAGAGAGAATATTTGAATAACAGTAAAAATTTTACTAAATTTGATGAAATACATCAATATAAACATCCAAAAGTTCAAAAAACTGCAAGTAAAAAAAACTCAGAGACCCACACTAAGACCTCCAAACTGCAGAAAGCCAGAGACAATGAGGGAATCTTGAAAGCAGCAGGAGGGAAGCAACTCATTACATACAAGAGATTATCAATAAGATCGTTAGCAGATTTCTCATCAGAAACTCTGGAGACAAAGGACAGTGGGCTGGTATATTCAGGGTTAAAAAAAATTGTCATCCAAGAATCTTGTATCTGGCAAGACTATACTTCAGAAGTGAAGGAGAAATTGAGACATACCTAGACAAACAAAAGCCGAGGGAGCGCATGACCACCGGATCTGCCCCCCAGAAACGCTCCAGGGAGTCCTACAAGGTGAAGTGAAAGGACACCAGACACTAACTTGAAGCTGTGTGGAGAAACGACTATCTCAGGAAAGACAACAGATGGGTAATTGGAAAAGTCACTATTTTTGTAAATTTGGTTTGTGACTTTACTTTTTACTCTACATAATTTAAGAGACTAATACATTTAGAGAAAATAAAAATATTAGTCCAAAGCTCGGATTGCTGTAACTTTGGTTTATAATTCTACATTTTGCTTTATACATAATTTGAGAAACTAATGCATTAAAAAAACTATCAGTCTATTTTTGGACACATAATGTATAAATATGTAATTCTGTGACATCAATAACTGAGAGGAGGTGAGGACAGAGTTGCAGAGGTAGAGTTTTTATATCACTAAAATCAAGCTTGCATAAATTTAAAGTATTATAACTTTAGGATGTTAAATGTAATCCCATGGGAACAACAAAGAAAACAGCTATAGAATATACACAAAAGGAAAACAGAAGAGAATTAAAATGTTTCAGCACAAAAACATCCATTAAACACATAAGTAGACAATAATGCAGAACATAAAGGATAAAAAAGCTCTAAGGCATATAGAAAACAAATGGGAAAATGACAGAATTTTCCCTCCTTATCAGTAATTTGAAAGGCAAATGCATTAAATAATCTTTTGGAATAAAAAGTTGGGTAAGAATCACACCATCCAACTTTATGCTGTCTACTAGAAACTCACTTGATATCTAAAACCATAAACAGATTGAAAATGAAAGGATAGAAGGATATTCCATGCAAAGAGTACCCAAACTAGAGCAGGGGCACCTATACGAATACCAGACAAAATATTGAAATTTTAAAAAACTACAAGAGACAAAAAAAATAGCGTATATTAATAAAAGGTTCAATCCAGCAAGGGTATACAATAATCTTAAACATGTATGCACCTAACGAGAGACCATGAAAATACTCACACATGAAGAAAAATCTGACAGAACTGAATGGAGAAACACAACTCTATAATAATACTTGAAGACTTCAATACACCACTCACAACAATGGCTAGAAAAATCAGACAGAAGAAAACAGAGGATTTAAGCAACACAATAAACCACTAGACTTAACAGACATATACAGAACAGTACACAATTGCACATACATTTTTATTAAGTGCACATGAGACCCAGGACAGACCATAGGTTAGACCACAAATTAAATCTCAATAGAGTTTAAAAGATAGGAATCAAACAAAGTATCTTTTGTGACAATGGATAAAATTAGCAACCTGTAACAGATGAAAATTCACAAATTTAAGGAAATTAAACAACATATTCTTAATGGGTCAAGGGAAATATCACAAGGGAAATGAGAAAATACTTATGGACAAATGAAAATAACAACACATATCAAAACTTACAGGCTGCAAAGAAAGCAGGGCTAAAGGAGAAGTGTACAGCTATAAACACCTAGAAAAAGATTTCAAATCAACAACCTAACTTTACAACTTAAGGAACTACAAAAATAATAAGCTAAACCTAAAATTACCCTGAAGAAAGAAAATCATTATGATTATAGCAGAAATAAAAAGTAGAGAACAAAAGAGTAATAGAGTATCAACAAAACCAAAATGTGGTTCTTTGTAAAGATCACAATTGACAAATCTTTAGCTAGATGGGCTAAGAAAAAGAGAAAAGACTCACATTCTAAAATGAGAAATGAAAGGGGAACATTACTACCAATTCTACAGAAAGAAAGAGAATGCCATGAACAACTGTAGGCCAACACACTGGATAGCCTAGAGGAAATGGCAAACTACTAGGAAGATACTGAGGCCTACTGAGACCAAACCAAGAAGAAAGAAAATCTAACTAGACCTCTGACCAGTAACAGGCTGACGGGAGGGGCAGTGGGGCACTATCACTTAATGTGTGTAGTTTCAGGGTTTTTTCCTCCAGTTTTGAGATATTGCAACTGACATATTGCACTGCGTGAAGAGGTTCGGTTTGTAAGATGACGAGTTCTGAAGATGGATGGTGATGAGAGTAGCACAATATGGAAGTACTTAAAACAACAAAACTGTACACTTAAAGTGGTGATGACAGTGCATTTTGTATTGTATGTACTTTCATTTTCAAAAAGTGGGGGGAACACTGCGTGCATAGCACTACTGAATTACAGGCGATGGGAAAAGTCTGGAGGGCGCCAAACAAGCACAGTGTCCTCCCAGGAAAAACTGACTCCTAACAAAAAAAAAACATATGACACAGGAACATTTGTTCACCAAGGGAATACAATTATTTTCAACTTCTGTGGGTAAATGTCTTCCAGTAAAGAAACGTTCTGGTCATTCGGCATTAGCTTTCCAAGGCGGAAGAAAAGGCTGCCAGTCAATAGGCAAGTGAGAGAGGAGGAAATTAACTAGGAAGGCGCTGGCTGGATGAAGGATATCCTGGCGTGAGGACTTTGTTCCAGCTCCAGGCAGTCAGCAGTCAGCAAGGGGAGCTGCTCCCTAGGCACCCACCATGGAGTCGGGAGTGCTGCTGTGCCATTAATGGGGGACATGAGAAGCAACTCAGAGCACAGGCCCAGGAAGATGAACAGGCACGGAGCAAGGGGGCCAGGCACTCAACATGCTGCCATCAGACACAGGTGTGAGAACAGGACCCAGATCACCAAGGTACGAGGTGGCAAGAAAAAGGCCTCCTGTGCTACGGATTCACAGCAGCAGGCTGGTAGGAAGAACTGTGCTGGGTGACACTCAGGGGTCAGGCAGAGTTTGGGGAAAGACAGAAAGAACTCACTGAGACCTGACAGGAGATAAAGGCAGAGAAGTGATTAGATCATCCCCGGGGTTCTTGCTGGGGTGCTGGTGAACCTGATGGAGGCAAGGGGACAAGGGGAGGGACCGGCTCCGGGCTGAGGGGCAGCACACAAGCAGCTTCCATCACAGCATCATGTGAGCATCAGCTGTGCTGAACACAAGAGGGAGCCCACCTAGGTGGCAGCTGACACTTCCCTGAATGGGCCCTGGAACGCTTTTCCTACCATTATGGAGGTGCTGGGAGATTACTCTGACAAGGTCCTTCCCACAGCTTCCTGCCCCCAGACTATCCCCACCAGCCCCAGAGCCTCCACCAGGTCTGGTTCCAAAGAAGACTGAGACTCCCGAGTGTGCTGCACACCTGCCCTCTGGGTGCCGGGGCTGTGCATACTCTTCCTCCTCCTGGGAACTGCCGCTCCCCTTAATCACCTCGCCCTCTGATGATTACTCAGTCTGTCCTGTTCACAGGGCCGTTTCTGTCACAGACCACAAGTTCCTGTCACCAGGGTGGTGCATCTCTATCCTTCTGTACCTGGCAGAGCCCCAGCTGGTCTATGGATCTAACAACGGCCACCCCACTGCCGAGTGAATGCAGCTCACACGGCAGTGGGTCAATTACTCACTCCTCTGTCCTGACCAGCACAGAGCTACTGGTCTTTACTTGCTCAGTTGATCATTTCTATCCATGTTCAAAATAAGAACCCAACTGTGCAAGTAGGAATCACACCTACTGCGCACTCTGAAACAGGTCTACAAGACACACTGCACAGAAGCTGGACCAGCTCTCCATCACCCACAGAGCAAGGAAAACCAGGCAAGAGCCATGGGCATGAGCACCAGCGGCACTCTGCCCTGTGATGCCCGCAGCGCCCACCTGCCCTGCTGTGGGCCCAGCTACCTGAGAAGATGTTCTTGAGGTTCTCCACGGCAGCAGCAAGCTGGCTGTGCCGCACCACGGCATCCTTCACGTCCTTCAGGCTCTCGATGGTGTTGATGCTCTGTCTCCAGTCCTTGCTGACATCACCCAAGGACCGCTGAATGTCCTTCACGTCGTTCAGTGCGTTGTGGAGCTGGCTCAGGCCTGTGCGCACCCCGTCTAACTGTGACTGGATAGCTGCCTGCGGGGCAACAGTGGGCAGTGAGCAGTGCTGGGCAGCCATGAACAAAGCTTCCCAAGAGAAATGCCATTTCAGCAGCAGGGAAGAGTCAATACCCAGAGCAAAGAGAGTAAAACTCAACAAAGTACCTAATTGATTCCCAAGAAAACTTTTTTTCATTGCTGCCTTGGAAAAAAACAATACCTTTTAAAGCTTTTTGAGAAAACCTCACACTTCTCATCCAGCCCCTCCACCTGAAGGCAATGGATGCCACTGTGGGTGCGCCTCAGGTCTCGTGGCCACCCCTTAAACAGTATCTTTAGAAAGACCCCCCGCCCCGCCGTGATTTCCCAGGTGCCTCTCAGTTTCCTAACGGGCCTTATCTCAGTGCAGAAGACTGTCAGGACTTGCTCATCAGCTTTAGAAATGAGGGGTCTCCTGCCATTCAGCCTGAACCAGACTCCACTCAAGAGGAGCCAGCCCCACTGTGCAGAGCTGGTGCATGTACGGTCCGGACTCATTCAACAGGGCCCCTGGCATGCCACCCAGTTAACTGTACACTCAGAAGGGAAGGGGCAGGACAGAGGACACAGGTGGAAGGGAGGGGAAAGACTAGGTAGCACAAAAGAGGCCAGGAACACCTTTAATCCAAGAGTTTTAAGTTGCATTTAGAAATAATTAACAAAAGACTACACAAGGTTTCTAAGTCACTATTGATAACCCTTAGTTAATCCCACACGTTTCTAGAACAGATTAAAATTCTGACTAAAAATGCAGCAAGTCCACACTTTAAAATTAATATGGAACTGCTGTTTCCAACCCATCCACGGTTTTGGGGTGCCTCCTTTGTACAAATGAATGGCCTCATTCTGTCTCACCAAGGCTGCCCTTACCTACCTGGATTCTAGTGTTTTCTAGTGGAGAGCTGACCTCACTGCCATATCAGTGTGAGAATTAACTTTCCTCAAAGACAAATCCTCAACCAGGGGTGTCCAACTTGTGGCCCATGGGCCACATGCAGCCCAGGATGGCTATGAATGCGGTCCAACACAAAATTGTAAATTTACTTAAAATCTTTTTTTTCGCTCATCAGTTTTCATTAGTGTTTGTGTATTTAATGTGTGGCCCAAGACAACTCTTCTTCTTCTTCTTCTTCCAGTGTGCTCCAGAGACGCCAAAAAGTTGGATACCCTGCGGCCATCCTGCTGCCTGTCACCACAGCAGCCCAGGGTTTTTAACATTTTTGTAACGATACTGCATGTGCATATTTTAATGAAACTTCCCCTTTTCATATGAGTTAGGTTGAAAGCCAACCCAAATCATAAAATATCTTGAAAAGAATGATTTTCTTTCTTGCCCCACTCGAACACACTCTTAATACCTGTGTCTAACTGTCTCCCTCCCTCCTTCCCCAGGGCCAGCAGAATACCTGGCCCACAGTCGGCCTGTTACAGCATGTGCTGAAGTGATCTACACAAAATATTCTCAGCGCGCACAATGTAGAAAAGCTTTGAAAAAGTTAAGTAGAAATTCCAGAAAAGATTGTGTGTTTTCATGTTTGCAATATTCCCACAATCTTATTTATAAATCTATAGACGGGTAATAGACTGTTGGAAGGCATGTGCTAAGTAGAGGGAATGCTCTGCTCTGCTCTGCTGCTTCCCAGGATCATCACTAAGTCTAATTTAGGAAAACGACAATAATGAAGCTAAGAGCCTAAAACTCAAAATAAGTGACTATGTCCCGCCTGGGGATTCAGCAGGTGCCTGTGGCCTCTCTGGCCTCGTACCTTTAATCTGGCCTCCACGGAGGCCTTTTTCCGGGCCTCTCTTCTGCGATACTGCTCCACTTTGTCCAGCTGGTCCGGGCGCTGAAGCATCCCAGCAACCCTTTGGACCGCTGTTGCAACAGCCTCCCGGTCAGTCTCCTTCATGGTTAAAAGGCAGATGGAATCTCGGACCCTGTCATACTAGAGTTACATATTCTGTGTGCAGAGGCAGAAGTATGTTAGCAAGGTAGTAACATCAGGTACACAACTCACCCCACCAACAGTCAGTTGTTTATAGTGAACTTACAAAGAGAGCATTTGATTAATCCAGTAAACCTGAAAGAACGCTGGACTACGACCACCAACCCCTTAATAATAAATACAAAACTTAAGAACTCAAGTATGGAGAAAGTTCTACAGTGGCATTCACAGGTATAAGATTTGAGCATATGGAGGATGTCTCTGAGTGGGTCAGTCTCCACGGCATTTCTCTTGCCCAGACGGGGCCAAGTTCTCATTTCCGGAGCTGTCACACCACCCCTTGGCCATGCTGGTGGGACAGCTGTACCAGAAGTGCTCAGTGGGGACACAGAGGCACAGGGACAGTACACCTCACCACCCCAGCAGAAGTCTCAGCACACAATCTACGATACCCCTCAAGAATCACAACTGTCTGTAGCACCCAGATTTGTTTCATACTACTTAACACGGCCAAGTAAACGAAGGTGAGAAGACAGAAGGCTGGGGTACAGCGTAAAGAAAGAGGTGCTGCCGAACCAAGCAAACCTGCCTTCAACCCCAGCTCCACCAACATCCTGGTCATGGAGTCAAAAGGGAGAGCTGGCGTCTGGCAAATGAGAGGATCAAACAGGAATCCATTCCCCTGGACTTCAACCATCGAGCCTCCAATTTCATGCATGTTTTCTGTACACAACTTCTCAAAGATATGAAAAAAGACCCACCCTCTCCCTAAAATTTCCATTCCCCATTCCCACGTTCTTACAGAAAAACACTGAAACCCACAGAGGATTTCCTAAGTGTTAAATAAGTCCTCTGCTTGTACATAATATGCCTTTTCTCTTTCAAGTGGAACTATATCACAACCACTGTCTTTCTTTTCTGATTATGAAGGTATGGACACCAATACAGAAAATCTGAACAGGCAACCCCGCCTTAAGTCCGCCATCGAGGGGCAGGCACTTCTGCCAGGGCTCCCATTTTTCCTTTGCATTCCAAAGTTGACATCCACCTGCATACATAACCCTGTATTTGCGTTGTTTCCTTGTTTCACTTTGACATGCTTCCAATATTGCCAGCGACATTAACACCTGTACGATTTTCACTGTGCGGCGGAGTGTCGCACAAGGAGGGGTCTCCAGTGGTCACAGGTGCGCAAAGCTTCAGTCCGCGCCTCGGGGATATGTGCGGCCTCAGCTCCGAATGACGTTCTAGGGGGCAGCCAAGCGCCCTCAGAACCGGACAGTCATCTCATGACGGAACCCCCAGTCGAGGGGCGACACCGCGCCCGCTCCGTCGGAGGAGACGACGACTGACTGCGGCCCGAACACTTCTGGGGTGACGGGACCGCGGTGGCTGCTACCACGGCTGCGCCACCCGCCTCCGGGGCCGCGCCCAGCCCGCCCGAGCCCGGGGAGGGACAGCGGTGGAGGTCGGCGACCACCGCCCGGAATCCCGCGTCCGCGTCCACCCCCGTCCCCTGTCCGCAGCCCCCTCACCGTCAAAACGGATGCTGCCCGCCGCCCGACCGGAATTGAGCGTTCCGCGACTACTTCCACTTCCGGCTGCACGACCGGAAGGGCGGGGCTGGTGGCGCCTCCGTCCACCGGCAGCACCCACCCGCAGAGGCTTCCAGGATCCACCTTACCTACCTCTCCCGTGGGTTGATTTCTGGTGGGTGGGGCCCTTCGGCCCTCTTCTATCAATGCACAGGCCGCCTCCCTCCCTCGGACCCGGTCGTCAGGACTCACCCTGACCCGCGCTGTTGTCCCGCACGTCCTCCGTAGCAATTTTGTGTGTGTCTCCACCACGGTGCCCACCTCTGATGCTCCCTGTTCATTGGCTACACCTGTCCTCCCGGCACAGTGTGGCAGGGCCCTGTCCCCAGACCAACGATTGGCGTGTGGCGGCTGTTTAGTAAATGAGCGTCACGTGTGACACCCGAACCCTCCGTGTCACTTGGCAGTTTCCTCATGAGATGTCATCGTTGCACCCTGGAATCTGATGCGAACTAAGCCCATCAGGGAGTACAAACAGATCAGAAAGGAGCAGCCCACCTAAGTCGGGCGGTCAGGGAATGCCAGAACGCGAGGCCATGGGCCGAGCCCATGGGTCTTGGAGAACGAAGTTGCCTCGTTGGCTGGGTGATAGAGTCGCAGGGCGTGAACTGGAAAGGAAGCCCAGGGAGTAGGGTCCATGTGTTACTCCTTGAAGGAGAAACATGTACTAGTAAGGCTTCAGGCTTGTCTGTTGTAGTGAGAAGCACTTTGCCTTAACTCGAACTGAAAAGGGAACCTTTCACTGTTACCAACTACTAGACTACCGATGGGCACCTCCTGGAAGTCAGGCGAGATGATACTAACAGAGCAGAGTCCTGAACAGGCAGGGAGTGAGCAGATCTGGAGGGGAGGCAGGTGGGGCAGCAGCAGAGGGGATGGGCGCCTGCACACACACATGTGAACACACGCATGCGTACATGATCCCACAAACATGCACACACCTGGGTGCACGGGGGTGGGGCAGAAAGATGGTGTGTGAGCCTCCCACCATTGCCAGGAATACTTTGTTAAAGTATTTTTTCATCCTTAAAAACTAGAAGAACAAAATATTGATTAAAAATCTTTTTTCACTTTTTTTTGCAAACCAAATAATTGAAACCCCTCCTATAAAACACTGAATAAAAATAGCAATCACCTATTTAAATGCACAGGAGAATTCACAAGCAAGCACAGGAAATGACCGGGGTGGTAAAGCAAAGAGGGGAGAGTGAGGTGAGTGAAAACTTCCCCTGGAGTGGGAGTGGGGGAGATAGTCCTAATGCCCAAGGTGAGGCACGGCTCCAGCGAGTGGACTCTGACCCTCCTCCATAGGGCCAGGACGCTCAAAGGGTGCACCAGTGTAAGCGTGGACCAGGGGAAACAAACAACAGCCCTGAAAACTAGTTTCTATCCGTTACTGGGATCCTGAGATTAAGGAAGGCACCCAGGAACTCAAAGTGAGGGGCCTGCACTTCACTTAGGTTTACACCCTCCTCAGGCTAGAAGCTCTCACTCAAACATCCATTGGCAGAAGCAAACTAGGAACATTTCTAGAGAAGCCCCTCCAATGTTGGCACGAGTAAGAAGTGAGGTGGCCTGTTCTGAAATGTCCTAAGACCCTTGTCAGTTCTGAGGGAATAGAGATCTTGGTCAGCTCCAACTGAGACCTTGTTAAATAGGCACATCCATGATAACCACTGAAGAGACAGAAACACAGTGGTGATTTCCAAACAAATGGGGAAAGGAACAGAGGAAACCTAGCAAACCCGCATGGACAGTAGGAAAGAGGAAATGCCAAAGGATCATGTGTAACTCGGAACACAAAGTAAGTAGAACTATGTTCAACTATATCAAAGATCAGAACACAAGTAAATGGATTTTAAAACAGCAGAATAGCTGTTAATGAGAAAAACCTAAAACACTCACAGGATGGCTAAGCATGGGAGGAGTTTGCACATGGCCAGTGGGGCCAACAAAGCTGGTGTCAGACAAAATGGGCTTTATGTCAGAGGCACTGTCAGAGTCATTAAGATGCTGAATGTCTAAGCCATAAAGAAACAGTTTGCTATGCTAAAATCTTAAACTTTTATGATTCAAAAAATCCTTCACTGAAAAAACAAGCTGCAGACATCAATCTGTAACTGAGGGGCACTGCTATCCTGAGCAAAGACAAGCACAGTTCACCCAGTGATGGCGAGTGTGCAGGAGAGCAGGGAAGAGACCAGGTCTGTGCTGCCCCAGGCCTGGTCAGTGACCTCAGGGAGGCCAGAGGGCCCCTCTCACCCTGCAGCCCTCACAGCCTTCAAACCACAGGCCAGGGTCATTCCCACTCAAAGCCCTGCCAATCCCTCTCACTCAGACCTACCTGTGACCTGCAGGCTCTACAGGGCCTTGTCCCACCCTCTCCTTCCCTTCCACGCCACCCCACGGCCCCTCCAGCCCCACCCGCCTGAGCTGTTTGTGTACCTGCACCTGCAAGTCAACTTTGGGTCTTGGCTCAAATGCAGCCTCCCAGCACAGCCTTGCCCACACAGCTGCCACCTGGGCTGCCCCCTGCCCCACCCCAGCTAATCCACCTGTGTGGCACCCAACCCCTTCTGATGTATTACAGACCTTAGTGGTTCTGTGGTCACTTCTCCCTCCCTTCCCTCATGCACACGTGTGCACACACATGGGTGTCAGCTTCAACACGGCACAAATGCCTGCATCCTTCCATCTCTGGTGTGTCCCCAGCCCTGTCACGGGGCCTGGTGTTCACCAGGAACTTAACAACTACTGTTGAATGATGAAAGGAAGGAAATACACATAAAACAACTACCTACCATTCACCCTCCAAAGGACAAAACCAAAGTGTCTGACAATACCCAGTGTTGGCGGGAACACGAGCCCCAGGGCTGCTGGTGGGGCACAGCTATGGTTCATGTCCCACAAACTTTGTATGCTGAAACCCACCCCCAAAGGTGATGGTGTCCGGAGGTGAACCTTTGGAGCGGTACTAGGCCCAAAGTGTCCTTCAGAAAACACGCCACAGAGCAGGCCCCTCCCACCAATGAGGACACAGTGAAGAGCTAGCTGGCCCTCCCCCACTGTCTGGCATCCTGATCTCAGGGTCCAGCCCCTAGGATGTGAGTGTCTGTTGTTGAACCCCCACCTGCGGTGGTGCTGCCACAAGGGGACTGAGGCATGCACATGGCAGGACCCCTTTGGAGGGTCATGGGCAGCTCTATTGGGGTGTCTTCAGTCTTAAAGAGTGCATTTGGGGGTCTGGAATTGACCCCCCTGCCCATCTGTCCCCACGGGAGCAGAGTAGTCACGGGACAGAGTGTGAGTGAGTGACCTCCATCTCAGGTCTCAACACAGATGAGTCTGAAGAACATGGGCAAGATGGGGAGGTGGCACAGGGGGAGGATGGGCGGCCACTACGGAGGGGGCAGCTGGGTTTGGCCCAGCAGATGGGGGGTGGCCAGCCTGCTCTCCCCTGTGAAGGACACAGGAGTCTCAGGACCCCAAAGGAGGCCTGGCCAGGGCGTGATCTGATGCAGGCAGGGGCAGGTCCATGCTCTGTCCAGGACACCTGAAACATGTTGTTTTGGAGGAGCTCTTTGACCAAACAAGTCCCTCTCCCCCTGTGATGGGGCCGCACCATGTTGAGTTTTACCTTTACCACTGCCTGGTGCCTGCGACAGTAAGGAACTGTCTCAGTGTGTGAGCTAACCAACACTAATTTTTAAAGGAAATAAAGTGACTTCATTTGAAAAAATCAAGTAGATGTTTCCATTTACGATAAACCCTTATTACCATGATTTATTCTACATCAATATTGCAAATGTAATGAGTCCACGTTATCAGAAATACATTTGAAAGCTCCTTCCAAAGGCACCAAGGAAACTACAAAAAGTTACATTATTTTTTTTAAGTCAATCATTTGTAAAATTCACAAACATCAGCCTAGATCCCGGAAACTTTTTCTCCCAGTAGAAACTGCCAAAATATAAAATATAATCTGTGTGTATCGCCTCCCTTCCATCCCAACCCCACCTTCTATTTGGTTGTAATCTGTTCCAGCGATGCAGGCACAAGCCACAGACAACAGAAGAACACGGCAGGCCATCGGCACTGCTGTGGACAGCTCAGAGCAGGAATGCCACTGCTGCACCTTCTGCCTCCTGTCGTCACCATCCCCACACAGTTTTGAGGACAGACAAGCAGGTAAAATAACAGACGTGCTGACTCAGGGAAGTTTTGTTGCTGCTGACCCGGCAGAGGAAGGAATCTGGGCCCAAGCACGGGACAGCCTCGAGGACAGAAAATCTATGGCGTTGAAGTCCAGATGCTGAATTCTTCAGCAACAAGCATGCCCTGTCCACCCAACAATGACCGGTCTGGTGCATGTGGGCCAGCGAGAATGCAGACCAACAAGTTCACCAGAACGTGAGGGAGGGGGTGGGGCAGCACGGGCACTGACATGGGTGGGGCAGGGCACCGCCGGTGCCTCGCCCCATCGGCAGGGGCCATGGAGTATGTTTGGGAAGGCTTCTCCTCCCGGGACGTTCAAGCCTGCAGCTCTCCTGCAGTTACGCTGCGATCTGGCTACAGTGTGCAAACACGCAACAGCATCTCTGAATTCCATCTTTTTAGTCCCCTATTTTCATAGTTACACATTACGCATGTGCAGTACTGCTGTCTGCAGCATCCGAAGGTGGGGAAGGGCAGTGGCCTGCATCCTCTTAGTTGAATGAAGTGAGAAGAGGAGCTGAGGGAGAGCTCTCCCAGGTGGGAGCACAGAGAGCGGACGGCTACTCCCGAGAGATGTGCAGGGGCTTCTGGTGATGAGGAGTGGGCACTCAGTTTGAGCAGGGAAGAGGCAGAAGATTCCAAAACTCTACCTCTTGTCTTTGAAATAAAATCTGTAGATACCCAGAGAGCAGAGGTGTGCTGTGCGGGGCGTGAGAA